ACCAGGGGTACTCTGTGTGACGGGGAAGGAGAGACTCTCACTCACTATGACTGATGTCATGAATTCCACGTCAGTGAAGCCTATCTATGCATCAGGTGTGGACCTGTGCGGCATCGACAAGAAGAAGTTCGCCAACCTCGTGCCCACTGACGCCAACGACCTCTTCTGGACGCACCTGGAACTGCTCAGGAAGTGCAAGTTTGTCGGTGAGTACCTGTCAGCCACCGGTAATGGCTTTTGTTCAGCCGCCATTGTCGAGCCGTAATTCAACTCGACGTCGGTCCTATATAATTGCTCCAATAAGACTATCTCATAGTTTTCTTTGTTTGTTATCTCACAATTATCATTGCTATTTGCTTAGTTCGTTTTAAACCCATTTGCTATGGGTTTCTTCCTTGTTTCCTACAAATGCTTACTGACCAGAGTGGTTGATACGTGTTACAGCCATTGTTCAACGGGAAGAAATCGTGACTAACGTGAAACCGAAGAAAATAAAGGCGAAATTCAACCTTGATGGACCCGAATTCGCCAATAGTAAGCTCATGGTTGAGTTAATGCCTAGTTTGTCTAACCATTCGTAGTTTACCATTCATGATTGTGTCTTTTATCTTTACCGATAAATGACTGACTCTTTGCGATATCTTTAAATCAACAAATGAACAAAGGTAGTTATTTACGTGGTATTATTCACGTCACAATGCCACAGCGCAATTCATACCCCCAATTGGTAGGTAGTGACGTCGCACGCAGTGCCATGTATTGTGCACTGTGCGTTGGGCGGCGCGCTGTGAGCTCCATCCGTTTATCCGCGCGGTGCCCGCAGACACGACCGCCGGCCACATTCAGCTGTGGCAGTTCCTGCTGGAGCTGCTCACGGACAAGGCGCGACGCGAGATCATCCACTGGGTCGGCTCAGAGGGCGAGTTCAAGTTCAGTGACCCCGAGATGGTGGCCCATCTGTGGGGCCAGCGCAAGAACAAGCCCAACATGAACTACGAGAAGCTGAGCCGCGCGCTGCGCTATTACTATGACAGTGATATGCTGCAAAAGGTAAAGCATAATCGGGCGTGGGCAATAATCGATTGTTTTCTTTTCATGAACCGTATTGACCGTATGGTACAGCCTCTATACAGTATCTACATACATATACATCCTCCAATCTTTTTGCTCTTGCTTTAGCAAAGATATGGTTTTGTATATAAGATATCGATATGGTTTTGCCGCATTTTATCAGTTTATTCGAACTTGTGGTCATTAACATCGGGGAAGACTGAAACATTTGTAACTAAGCCCGATCACCATTTACCATGGCGCTGCCGCTGCAGGTGCCGGGTAAGCGGTTTGTGTACAAGTTCATCTGCGACCTGCGCGCCGTGCTGGGGTACAGCCCGGCCGAGCTGTCGCGCCTCGTCATGGAGGCCGAGCACCGCGAGAACCTGGCCAACAAGCAGCGCATGCGGCACAGGATGGCGGCCGGCTTCAACTGAGCTGCACTGCTCGCTGCTGGACGAGCGGTCGGTGAGCCCACGTCTAGCACGTGCTTAGGTAGTCTGGCTATCAATGTTTTTCACACCAAAACACCGGAACAATGAGAGCGTCTGGATTGGATTGTAACCTTTTTTGGTTTCCACTGATTGCTGTAACAAAAATCACCAAATGCCTGAGGTTTTAGGATCGGTTTATATTTGCTACTATACTACTCTTTGGAAGCATTAGTCGCAATTACAGGCAATGCGAACCTGTAAACGATGGATGTTGGTTCCCGGTATTGTTGCTCATTTTCGAAATTACTTTGACGTTATAAGTTATGTTGGCTGTGAAACTGTTATCTGTGCTCTAGTTCCACTTACGATTTTGCGAAGCACAGCGATGAACCGGTTTGCCTTGGTAATACCAGGGTCCCGTCACCTGTATCCTTCGGATGAAGATCATAGCGATGTCGCTGAGGTGCACATGGAATGTTTATTAGAGTGAGTTGGTTGTCAGTATGCTGAATGTGCGTACATCTTTGTCGCGACTCTGTGTGTCTTGCCGGCAACCGTGCCGTGAAGATGCCTTCCCCGTGCTCGCGAGATCTGGTGACTGCGGACAAATGCAGTGCCGTGTTCATTTCATACATGTTAGTGTATCATTGTTTTCATGTAAATAACTCATAATGTGTTCCAATAGTCTTGCCTTGTATTCATGACTTTGTACAGCCATCCATGAACTGAGTGTGTGTGCACTGTGCAGTCAACAGTGTTTACCGTAAATACATATTTTGTCATATTAGGTACGAGTGTCGGTTTCCAAGGTCTCGGGTCTCGTCAGATGGCATAAAAGTCGAATCAATGCACTGAACCGCGCAACGTCTGATTCGATGTAGGTCCGATGGATCGTGCCCACACGTGCCAGGCGGTGGCTGGTCCACCTCAGAGTCAGACCCGCCTTTCTGAGAGTGGACTCCGTGGGAGTCCTCGACATGCACTCCGTCGTGAATAAGAGTCCCGGTCCGCCTTCTCTGGCCGGACGCCGGTGACCTCAATATACCTATTATAAGAAACGGTGACCTCGACGAAAGTTTGCGTTTTTTAGGATAAAACGAAAACTAAACTTTTATTAGGAACTGTTTTAAACTGCGCAGCAGAGCATAAGGAATAGAAATCCGATGATCTTTTTGGGATTTAAAGAAACTTGTTTGGGGGGTAAGCCCTCCCGCCGCGTCCAAGACCGCCTTCCTGGATCCGCCAGTGCTTACAAGCGCTTACAAAGATCAAGCATTTATAACGCACTTTAGTACGTACATGAAGCGCAGGGTATATTAGGCATGAAGCGGTCATATGACACTTCGCAGGCCACAGTGAAGATTTATGATGAACTAGTCTCCGTAAGCCTCGCTCCGTTGCAGCTCTGCTGCTGGACCGCCTAGATTGTTGTACGCAATTTGACAGACAACTCCAACATTTTAACCGATCCTTGAATCTACCCAATGTTGACCCAATGATCGTCTTCTTGCTGCTGGTAGCACCCGGTGGACAACGGATTACGTTTTGGCAGAATATAAGGCAATTCTACCGTATTTGTAAGTAAACTAGTAGACTTCATTATTGTTTAGATTGTTTACATGTGGATGTGGATATTTCCAAGGATATTTCTTAGTGGATGGATGTCTTTTTTATAATTTTGAGGTGTTTGGAAAGGTGTACACAGGATGCTTGGGAGTGGCATTTTCAAACCTCATGCTGGCTGTGTTTGAATGTGATGAAACAAAGTTGTATGTAAATACATTCACTGGTGGATAAAACTAATTTGCCTGGCAAAAATCATAAAAATGCTATGCTAAGTAGATATGTACCTACATCAGCTCAGTGTGGTTACTGATTGTGAATGTGATGATGTGGCCACCCAGGCGGAGGCCCATATTTTGGTGCATTTAGGATGATGGTGAAAGCAGGGCGCCGCAGGGCATATTTGGTCATGTGACTATTGAGGAGTTCAGTAGGCGGAACTATGGTCAAGCGTACCCATTTTCGGGAACGCATTTTCGTTCCCATGTTTGGGAACGATAAACCCAAATATGGGAACGCCATGTAGGCATTATTTAAAACAAGAAAAAGAACTGTTAAATGACGTCCAAAAAATATAAAACGATCGTGAACCGCCTGATAGTTGTCTCAATATTGTTGGGAAAGAGTTTGATATTGTAAGGCCCATCGTAGTTTCAAATCGTTCCCCTATTTCTAAAGCAGTCCATCACCCGGGCCGCGAGCCCAAATTTGGGAACGCTGTCGTACACTGGCGCTGCAAGCGTTCCTTATTATGGGAACGGCGTACCCAAAATTGGGAACGATTTCACCGACGCCTTTCAGGGGCTCTTTTCATTAACAAGCATCACGTCCAACGCCGCAAATTATTGTTAACGCAACAATCATCAGATGACCTTTCCGGCAAGACCGTTGCATGTTTCGCCCGGTCTTCTGCGCTTTTATTCCCGTCGATCTCGCAGCGGGCACGCCCCCCTCTGCAGGATTACGTAATCCACAACGCTCAGCGATGTTCAACAAGGTCTTCCATACCTATATCCACCGTCCGCGCCGAGGGTGGAGACATGTCAAGCACCTGTCTGCTAATCACCGAGAGTTGACGAGCACAAGAAGTATCCAAAAATGGGAACGCTGAATATGTTACACCCTCAAAACACCTAGTCCCAATGAAAATCTAGTTTTTTCCTTTCTTAATGAGTGTAAGTGGCAAAAGGCCTGGTAGGATGGGCACGACGTATGATCGAAATCAGCATAAAAATTATAAATAAGCCACACAGAGCGACCTATATCAGAGAAATTCCCCCAACCGATCATGCTTAGAAACGCCGAAGACAAAAACCACGCTCATGACACTGCTTATAAAACAACGCTAAACAGCTAGCATCCAAATAAAATATGTCTTTCAGGGCTGATAAAATACAGCTGAATGATTTTAAACCACTGAAACTGAGTTTACAACAGTAGTTCGGTAAAATCACTGACGTTCCACGCGGTCGATCGCCCCGACACCAAATGTCAACAATATTACCTCGGGACTGTCCGCGTGTTCGCTTGCATATGTCATCATCTGGTGTCGCTAGAATGAAACTTCATAACCAGGCGAAAATTATTATACTTGACCTCAAAATGTAAAAAATGCTTCATTTTCCTTAAACTTGCATGTTAAATGTCGTATAACCCATATTTCCACCATTCTGTCATTTTTAAAAAATCATTAAAAATATCATTCCACGGTCAATTTCCTTGTTCCACGGTCAGATTAAAGATAACTTTATGGAGATTTAGTAGATACTTAAATCAGCGTGCACTTTTTTGAGACGTGATGCACTTTTGAGTTTTAGTGGGCGAACGGCCGAAAAATTGCCTTCCGTTCTCATAAATGGGAACGCCCGTTCCCATATTTGGGAACTCCGTTCCCAAAAATGGGAACGTTCCTATATTTGGGTACTCATGACCATAGTTCCGCCTACTGAGTTCTCCCCTCTCAATGCCTTCTACACAATGATTGTCATGTGGTTTGTGCAAGTGAATTTCCATAGCCTTGATCAAATTGCCCTAGGCGCCCTGTTTTCATCATCATCCTGCATTTAAATGATGCCTGATTTTATGACATGCTTAATGATAATCAAAGATATGTTCAGAAATCAAATGGCACCATCAGTGCAAACTGCATGTCACTATTTCAATACTTTTGTGACCTGAAGGGTGAAAGGGCAAAAAACATTTTGATTTAGCATGCACTCTGCAGGCTGTGCTGCTACAGTGATTACCCCAGCTAGCAGCTTAACACCTGCTTTTCATCCTAATTCTTCTGTTTTCTCCTGAAAGGAGGAAGAATCAGTAATGAGCAGTGCCAATGACAATGCATAGTTACAGTCAATATGGCATGCATCAACATGGAAGGGGGTGGAGATTTGACTGCTCATTCCACTATAGTGGTGTGACTCCATGCTAATTGTTCAACAAGGAAATGAAGCAAGCTGAGGATCATGCAATGGTAGATCTGTGTGACTCAGATAGTACCTAAGCATTGCAATGCTATTTTAGTTCAATGGGCCATTGATCTTAATCTTGCAGTACCTACCTACCTACGTCCTCATTAGTCATTATCCTTTTGCTCATTTAATATTGTTTTTTCTCTTTATTTTACTTAATAAACAAAAAGGGGCCTATTCGTTCCAGAATCCAGATTGGTTAGCATAGTAAGCTGAAGATAAGACCACTTTTGCATCCATTATTCGATGCCAATCAGGTACCTACCTTGCTAATTTTGAGGGAATTATAGGTCATTGCCATTTCAATTTGAGCTGCTAGCCATTTATTTTATGAAGTTATATGCAATAAGGTATTTGTGCAGTTCCATTTAACAATTCAATGCTACAGTACATAACTGTTTCTATTTGATGGCACTGCACTACCTGCCACATGTCATGATCATTGATCAATATTGAACTATTACCAAGGAGAACATAAATCTGTTTTTTTTTTTCAATCATACACTATGTATTGACCTTTTCTGGGGAATTATCATGGGTTAGCATTCACCTTTGATTCATTTAGGAGTTATTACATACAAGTGAACTTGAGAGTTAGATCAGCATGAGTGACATGGAGACAGTGAAAGTGGTAGTGGTTGGTGACTCCGGTGTAGGCAAGACATCATTGGTACACCTAATCTGCCAAAATGAGCCATGTGCCAAGCCATCGTGGACGATCGGCTGTGCGGTGGACGTCCGCATTCACGAGTTTCGCGAGGGCCTGCCGGAGCAGCGCACGTACTGTGTCGAGCTGTGGGACGTGGGCGGCAGCGCGGCGCACGCCAACACCAGGCGCGTCTTCTACGGCGGCGCGCACGGCGTCATACTGGTGCACGACCTCAGCAACCGCAAGACGCAGAACACGCTGGCCGGCTGGCTGGCCGAGGTGCTGAGCCGCGACGCCGGCGAGTCGGCCGCCTTCGACCCGGAGACGTTCGCCGGCTCGGCCACCGCCCAGCTGCCCGTGCTGGTGGTGGCGTGCAAGCCGGACCTGTCCGACCCGCGGCGCGCCGCCCACCTCCAGCGACAGGCGTCCCGGTTCGCCGACGAGTGCGGCGCCCAGGAGATCACCGTCGACTGTCTGAGCGCCCGTTCGCTGGCGGCGGGCAGCAGCAACGCCGTCAAGCTGAGCCGGTTCTTTGACAAAGTGATTGAGCGCCGCTACCAGCGGGAGCCGGTGACCCAGCACTGGGAGCGGCGCCGGCCCGGGCCGCCCGTCAGACACTCGTACCGTGACTACTGACCGGCTGATGGCTGCGGGACACGGAGACCGCGGACTGGAGGCTACCGTGTTTGATGTGGTGACGAGCGTGGAGAGCATTTCTGGGTGTTTGGACGCTATTGGTGCCTGGACTGCATGGGAAGAATTTAACCAAAGTGATTTTATTTACCTAAATAGATAAGTGTTTTTAGCAATTTATGGGGTTTCACATGATCGGTGATTGTCATTTGTTGAGACGAGAAAAGAAGAGTTTGAGGGTCAGTTTGCTGTGATAATCGTACCGGTGATACTGACGGTACTACATATCAGACTGATGCGTTACATTGTGCCCTTGCCGTGGATATGTTGGAGTTCAGTGGTCATGTGAGAAGCGTCTTCCATATATGACATTGGTGCACGCTGTCGATTATCATCCCTCGTATTCGCTCGAGTCTGTGTCTGCGCCGCTGCGCTCCAACCGCGTGAGCTGCCCGGCGAGCGGCCGTTCCGACCCGCTGACGACCCGGACCGTGCCGACCAGCCGCGCCGGCAGACCGCGCACCCCGCCATGGAGTCGGCCATGACGATGGAGACCGACCCGTGGCTGGAGAAGAAGTCGGACGGCCTGGAGCACCAGTACAGCGTGCGGGCCGACCAGCTGAGCCAATCGGTGGACGACATCGGCCTGCTGGCCACCGCCGAGCCCACTGAGCCGCCCGAGTCGCCCCAACCGCCGACATCGCCCTTCAAGGTACGGAGGGGAGGGGGAGGCGTGAAAGCCTTCAAGGTACGGAGGGGAGGAGGGGTGTCGGGAGGGATATTGGTGAGGGAGCAATTGTTGACCTGGGTGTCATGGTAAGTTGTGTTTCGTCGGGAGGGTGCAAAAGTAAGTTCCGTTGGTGTATTGGATGGGAGCTGACTGTGATAACGTAGATGATCAGCTGACCTCAGATTACGGTGTGGATTTCACCGTCGTAATGCCAGTAAGAAATTGGAAATAAAATAGAGGCTTCTCAGCGGTACCTCCTTGTCTCAGCTTTTCAATGTAAATCGAGTGAAACCATGGTAAAGCCGTAGACTGAAACCATAGTAGTGCAACCACTGTATGTATTTCCAAGCTCGTTGCGACATTTGCGTGGAACCAGATTTAGTTCTAAAGCTTCCGAAGTAAAAAGTAAATGTTACCTATTTTAGATTTGATTGGAAAAATATTGATTTAATATGGATTCAAGGAAAGAACAAATTCACTGAAAAATGTAAATCTGGAAAGCTTTTCGGAACCGTAATAGTGACCAGAAACAGCATAGGACAAACACGTACGTCGATCACCGTCGGTCTGCCATATTGACGCCTGTTTCGTGTTTTGCCAGGTGACCATGTACCAGTGCGCCCAGTGTAAGACCACATTCAGCACGCTGGACATGTGTGTCAGCCACCAGTGCGGCCTGGCGGCAGATTCTGTGGTCGACTCGACTCAGCCGCAGTCCCCGGAGCAGCCGGCGCAGGGCGCGCCGCGACAACCGGAGGTCCAGCAGGCGTCCGGCCGCAGCCTGGCGCAGCAGCTGGACGACAGCCAGGGCAGCAGTGAGTGGGGGACGACAGCCAGGGCAGCAGTGAGTGGGGGACGACAGCCAGGGCAGCAGTGAGTGGGGGACGACAGCCAGGGCAACAGTGAGTGGGGGACGACAGCCAGGGCAGCAGTGAGTGGGGGACGACAGCCAGGGCAGCAGTGAGTGGGGGACGACAGCCAGGGCAGCAGTGAGTGGGGGACGACAGCCAGGGCAGCAGTGAGTGGGGGACGACAGCCAGGGCAGCAGTGAGTGGGGGACGACAGCCAGGGCAGCAGTGAGTGGGGGACGACAGCCAGGGCAGCAGTGAGTGGGGGACGACAGCCAGGGCAGCAGTGAGTGGGGGACGACAGCCAGGGCAGCAGTGAGTGGGGGACGACAGCCAGGGCAGCAGTGAGTGGGGGACGACAGCCAGGGCAGCAGTGAGTGGGGGACGACAGCCAGGGCAGCAGTGAGTGGGGGACGACAGCCAGGGCAGCAGTGAGTGGGAGCAGAGACGGCGCACTGAGTGGGATAGAGACAGCACACAGAGTGGGACGGAGACGGCTGACAGAGAGGGACAGAGACGGCTCACAAAGTGGAGACAAAGACGGCACACTGAGTGGAGCAGAGACGGCACACTGATTGGGGGCAGAGACGGCACTAAGTGGGGACAGAGACGGCACACTGAGAGCCGGCAGAGACGGCACGCTGAGTGAGGTGTTGTTTCGGAGATAGCTGCGACGTTTGAGAAGCGTTCCAGGTTACCTGGTTGAACCTTGGACGTATTTAACTGCCGATATGTTAGCGGTAGTTGATTCAGCTTCTGAGGAGTTGCCCTGCTGCCCACTCCGACGCATACATTGCCGAGTGATTTACGATAGTGGCTCCTTGGCTCACTGTCGGACTGTATGACTGTCATTTACATATGTTTCCAAGTGACACACGATATCGGCACACTAAGCTTACTGCGCGACTGTCATTGTTCCAGATTACCGTTGGGGGCAGCATGACACATTGGCGCTGATGGAAATTCTCACTAGCAGCGCGGAAAAGTTCAGCAACCCAAACATCAAGCGAAAGTTCATCTGGAAAGAGGCCTGTGACAAAATGCTAGAAAAAGGTTTCAGCATAAGCCAGGTAAAAAGTGAATTGCAACGATTTTCACGATGACCGCATAATAGATGTATGTGCTTTATTAACAATATGTTTATGTCTCGCTAGCAGCTGTTACACTACTGTGTCATCACATGCAACGAGTTTCAGAGTCAGTGCTTAGTGTTTTGCTTGTTTCACATTTTCACGTTATCGCAAATTTTCCGGAAATTATCCCTACGTTTCCTATGTAGTTCTCAGATAAAGGCACTGTTTGACATTTTACAGCTGGCGTTCCACTTCTGAAGCTCATCGTGATGTGCCATTATGCGAGAATGACGTTGCCCTTCTCGCCTGCAGTTACAATGCGAGAATCGCTGGAAGACGCTGAAGGCCATGTGGCGCAAGTCGCAGGCCTCCAGCTCGTCGCCGGCCTTCTTCCGAGAGATGTGTGAAATCGCCGAGCAGTACCCGCAGCTGATGGTAGACACCAGCCTGGGAGGCGGCGACACCGGCCGCGTCGACCGAGCGACCGGTGAGGCGACTCGGAAGGCAGGGGCTAGTGTTAGCCTGCTTCCTCCTAAGCGCTAATTTGTCTGAGTACACCACTGCCCGCTATTGTGGGATCGTCCCTGCTACGAGATCTAACGGTTGGTGAAACCGGCGGCGGCACTTCCTGAATATCCTGAATAATTCGCGCATAGTTGATATCTAATCTTGATATTATGACACTGGCACCTATAGGAGACCAATCATTTGTCATGTCAGCTATCAAGTAAGCTCACAATACAGTAGATTGTTATATGAAAATTATTGAGCGTATCCAGGAGCGTGTATGTACCACACTTTCACAAGAAATATCCACTCACTCTTCCATGGGTTTTAGTGAAAAGCCGCGCTTTCCAGCTAAATAACACGCTGTTCACCCTTGTCAGCCCAGTGAAGGTGATCGCGTCGCTCTCCAGCCCCTTCCCTCCCCATGGGCCATGAGCTCGTTGACACTGAACACTGTGCACGCCCCATTCAGTGCCGGCAGGGCACGTGAAGACCAACTGGACCCGCGAGGCGTCGCTAACAATGCTGGCGCTGCTGAAAGCGCGCGCCGCCGACTTCTCAGACCCTAGCATCAAACGGCGCGCCCTGTGGACGGATATCTCCGACGCAATGCGAGACATTCACATGGAGTACACGCCAGAACAGTGCGAGGGACGCATGAAGACGCTACTCCAAGCATACAAGTTAGTACCTTCCCACGGCGTGTTTGGTGTGCAAAAGGGGTCGTTTGTCGTTCGTGTACAAAGTGTAGAAGATCGGATGGGGAAAGTGGCGAGGTGATGTTTTTAGAAAAGGGATCAACGATCATTACCTAATGATCATGCCTCGGTAATCGTACCTAGGATAGATGTTTACCTAGGTAAACATCCATCTCGTTCGAACTCGTCTTTCCTAGTAATCATATCGTGTGAAATCTTAGTAAAAATCGTTTTATCCTAAATCTTGTCGTTCTGTCAGCCCCACGAGTCCTCTCTGACGGCGTGTTTCGCTGTGCCGCAGGCGGGCGCAGACGCGGTGGGACCTGACGGGCGAGGGCGCCGAGTCGGACTGCTACTACCAGGTGGACGAGCTGGTGCAGCTGATCCCCGAGCTGGCCGGCAGCGCCGCCGGACGGGCCGCCGCCGCCGTCGACGCCAGTCTGGCGCCGGGCACCGGCAGGAAGGTGACGGCGGGCGGCCCGCGGCGGCGCCGGGCCGGCCGCGCCGCGCGCCAGCGCGACCTGGTCACATGGCTGGAGAACTGGCTGCAGGAGCAGCGCCGCTGGGACGAGGGTGTGCAGGCTGTGCTGCGTTCCCAGCACGCCGAGCGGCTGCGCGTGCTGACAGAGATCCGGGACGAGCTGCGGGCGGGCGGCGCGCGTGTGCCCACCACGCGGCCGCCGCCGCCACTGCCGGCGCTGCCCCAGATCAAACACGGAGTTAGTCCGTCACAGACAGACAGCGTGGTGGCACAGGTGTTCCTGACGTGATTCGCACAAAGTGTGATGACCGTGTCATTATTCTCATCGTCAGTCATTGTAAATACACACGCGTATCCACTTTATCAAAAATGATATCTGAATAACGGAGAAAAGTTGATAAATAGCGTACCTTGTATATTTTACACGCAGTATAGCTCGTTCAAGTTATCACGCAATCGCCCGAATTCAACTGAATCAACTGACAACTCAATAATATCAATCGGGAAAATAAAACCGGGCCTTCAAGATCTCCTAGCCGAGCGTTGTACCATTGATTGCCCAAGCCCCGTACCAACGCAGTTCCCTGCACCCAGACCCTGCCACCGGAATATCACAAAATATTATCAACTCAAACCACAGAATGCGCCATATGTAAATCGTCTGCCTACTGGCCGCCTCGCTATGAAAAGTCGGGGCCACAGGTCCTCAATGCACTAAAGCTAATGCCGTGAAAGTCTCACTCGTGATTAAGGCTAGCGACGTCAAAATAAAACGTACAAGGAACTGTAATAATTATGGAATCGTAACGTTCGCCTAACTACGAAGGTAATAGGCATTCATTTCGCGCTTTGTCACAGTCGAGTATCACCGGGAGTCCGGACAGTAAGCATAATACCGCACTAGGCAATCAACTCGTCTTGATAATGCCCTAGATGCAGGGACTAGGACTAGAAATAACTAGCTGCGTAAAAATCGCAGACCAGTCTCCAGCCACTCTACCCTAAATACGCAACAGGTCCTACGTGTCATTTTGCAAATGATCTGCACCACACTGGAGTTTTTGGGGATACTACATAGTCTAGAATTCCTCTGATATGACTGTCTAGTGTCGATGATTATGGGACTAACCCGCTGTAGCTACGCCGTAATGTAGGCATATCGCTTGTCATGGTCAACGTCGCGACGTTTCGAGGGCCCCGCGCGCCCGGTCGTTCGGCGGGTAGGCGGACTGGTGTAAAGCTGAGGCGATCAGGTATCACGTGGCTGGCGGAGTGCCGTCCGGTGGCTACCGGCGCGGCACAGCCGACATCTGAACGGCCGGCTGGACGCCCAGCTGCGAGGCGCGGTCCTCCTGTATGCGCAGCAGCTGCGCGATGGTGACGTGCCGGCCGGCCACCTCCTCCTGCAGCGAGTCGCGCTCCTGCAGCAGCAAGCCCAGTTGCTGCGACACAGCTGACCGGGGAATTAACTGGTCAGATGGCAACAAACATCATTATAGCTCATAAATCATTAACTGATTAATTAAGCTGTAAGCAGGCATGTTTTGCTTTTTGCAAACAAACCAGGCAAGACATACCTACCTTGTATGCTAGATACCAAGTGATCCTTAAGCTTCATCAGCTCAGTTGATGACATACCTTGCACTGAAATTTGGAAACAAAGCCAAGTCACAAATTAATCACAAAATCGCTCAACAACAGGTGCAGTTCATTTTAGAGGTAAGGTGCCTCATAAAATATCAAGTTATGATAGCTGGTGTATTTGCTGATGTAGGATGTAGGCCCACAATGCCTATGAACCAGGCTGTTAATCAATAATGTAAGCTAAAGCAGACAAACTGGAGGGGTCATTGAAGCTTATATAACTTATCAAATTTAGTGATATACCTACCCAGATGTGACAAAACTTTTTAAAACACATTTATGCTAGTAATTATATGGTGATGTTAATTCACTTTTTCAGAAATGCCATAAAAAAATAACTTAAATTTTAACAGTTTCAGGCACTCTCAGGCAAAAATGATCTCAAAGCATGACACATAATCCCACTATCAACAACTCTCACACACATGTTCAGCAGCAAAGTGGAAAAAAACAGAGACATTGTAGTTGGCGCACCCTTAAGCCCCAATAGACAAACAATGGAAAAAAACAGAACATGTAGGTAAGGACTAACCGCTTAACCGGCACTGGTACCTTGACCTAGTACCCACCATTTTTACTTATCCTTTGTTCCTCCTTCAAATCTTCAAGTGCAGATATCATAAAATCAGCTTCAACAGACCTTAGTTCTTCCGAAAACATTTTAACACACCTGAATCAGAATCAGAATGCCCATAACAGTTGGCGCAAGTCACTGTCACTGCCACTGGCGGCCACGTTGAGACTTAAATGAACTTCTTGCAAACAAAATATCTTTGTAAGTCTACATCCTATTCCATTGAATTACACCAATCACACCTGAAACAGCCACCTCGATTAATTAAGGGCACCACTGCAGTCACAGTTTAGAATTCACCTTCAGTGAGTCTGTCAATTTCTCTCACAAAGCCACAAAGCCATGAATAGGTACTAGGCTCAGGAAAGCATTAGGTATCAGTATTAAAGCAGTTGGCTCAGACTTCCCAATTACGTCCTGCTGCAATTGAATACAAATGTTGTTGTTGTTTCGGGTAAGGACGCGTGGCAGCCTGGCTCCTGCGTCCAAAAACAAATTGAAATGTTGCAAGGCTTTGAAACTTGGGAAAGAGATGAGGGTCGCTTGGGTAAACCAACCAAGCAACGGGTACCTAATCAAGGCCGTATAAATGGCCTTGCCGTAGCCGTAGGTATATTGATATTAGGCTGGAAAAATTTCCTGGGGTTTCCATTTATATACACTGTGGGGTTTCCTCGGGGCAGCTCGGGCAGCTGGGGGACAGCGGGGACTGAGCGGGGACAGCTGGGGTTTCCCAGGGAAACGGGAAATGAATTCACCCGCGCCATGAAAGCCTCGGTCAAGGAGAGAAACATATATACAAAGCCAATGGTCACGTGGCTGGAAACATCTAAATAAGTTGACTTGTTATTTTACCTTTACTCTACCAGGCAATTATTTAAAATTGATGAAATTTAATTTTGAATACTGCAAACTACTTGAACCATAGATATAAAGACCTGAACGCTCAAATGTTGTGAAAACTATCCAATTGTTTTTTACTATTTTCATGTGATAGACAAGCTGCTAAATTATAATTATCCCAACCATTGCCATTGCTCAAAGTGGAAAGTACCTAGTAAGTGTAGTAAGTTGCCCCGAGAATTCCCCAACGGAATTCCCCAAGGCGATATAATTCCCCTAGCGCTGTGTATTATTGCTCGAGTGCTGCGTCTTCACGCGCGATTCAAGCCAGAGTTCGATTCAAGCGTATCCAAGCCAATTCAAGCGTGAGCTGGAAATTATCAGTCGGACTGGGACGGTAGGTGTTGTTAATAATGTTGGAATATTCTGAAAGATTAGGAGGTTGTAGGTTTCTGGTATCGGTTCTTTGTACGAGTTTGGGGGGGGTGGGGATGGATATCAATGTGGACTGTTGTTGAAGAGTTTGAGTTCAAGTTAGGGCGCGCAGCAGCTTGGCTATAGATATAGACTGATTGTGATGACTGTCATGTTTTGAGGTCTCATATGTATGATGAGTATGACAACCATTTTGATTGCGCAATAGTAGATTGATCAACATTTATTCGATTGATATATTAGGTTCTGAAACATAGCTATAACACAACTCATAGTATAGTTTGTGTGAAGTTAGGGACAGAATGAGCCACTCCACCTTTGCTATGGTAGGTTGAGGTGCGTGGGTGCATGCAGTCTGTTGGCAGTCATACGTGTAATATATTTGGCCGATCGATCTCCAGTTTTATGTGGGTAGAGGTTTGAGAAAAACATGGCACACAGTACCACACAATTTGGCATAGCTTATCATGCATCAATTTTTCATTGGGTGTGAACTGTCCTCCCCGTGGCCTAGTGGATAAGGCGTCCGTCTCCTAACTCGGTGGCAGCGAGTTCGCGGCCGGGAAGCTCCACGTCGTTTGACCCGCGTTCCTATATTAAGCCAGCTGGCAACTGGCGAGAGAGGGCCACCCTAGACCCGGGAGGACCGTGCCGCCATCTACCTGCGGCACGTTAAACTTTCGATCCAAATTATCACCGGTGAACCGGGCGCGGGCAAGGTGGGGTGGTGGGTCCGTGGTGTCATTCGCAACAAGCTCTGCTTAGCGGGGCACCCGGGCCCATAGCCACCCATTCATCCATTCGGACAAAATTTCTTTAAAAAAAAAAACTGAAAACTTTGGTATCGGTAACCCTGGGCCTGGCATCACCAGTAGCGTTTTCGTTCAAGGTTAAGGTTTCCTGCATTAGGCCGCCGTGCTAAGCCGAAGCATGCTGTGACGTCACTGGGTAAGAGAAGATAACGTAGCACAGCATGCTATCAGTATCCACTGGGAATAGTCCCAGTGGGACGATAGACTCAGACTGACTCAGGCAGACTCAAACTGACTTGACCAACTCAAATTGATTCCGATCGACTCATATAGACTCAGAATGATTCAGACAGACTCAGGCTGACTCAAATTGACTCAGCTCAGGCAGACTCAAACCGACTCAGGCAGACTCAGACCATTTTAGATCGACTCAGACTGACTCAGATAGACTCAGAATGACTCAAACTGACTCAGACCCACTCAACCGACTCAAATAGATTCTGATCGACTCAGACAGACTCAGAACGACTCAAACCGATTCAGATCGATTCAGACTGACTCAGATAGACCCAGAACGACTCAAACTGACTCAGACCGACTCAACCGACTCAAATCGATTCCGATCGACTCAGACAGACTCAGCGCGACTCAAACCGTCTCAGGCAGACTAACTGACTCGACGACTCAAACCGATTCAGATCGACTCAGACCGACTCAGAACGACTCAGACCGACTCAGAACGACTCAGACCGACTCTAACGACTCAAATCGATTCCGGTCGACTTAGAGAGACTCAGAATGACTCAGACAGACTCAGGGAGACCCAAACCGACTCAGGCACTGACTACTGAGACTGATTCAGATCGACTCAGACCGACTGAGATAGACTCAGAACGACTTAACCCTCGCCGGCCGAGGGGGGGGGGGCGGGTGCCGCCCCCCCCCCCCATAGGGTTTTTTCGCGATAGCTCCGAACACCCTGGCGATAGAGAGCTGAAACTTGGCATACCTGACCTTTGATCCAAGCCGCATCTTTTGACACCAACCGCATTTTCGGGTCAGGTCAGGTCACTGACCTATGACGTCATAAGTGAACCTCTGCACGGTCTTCAGATGTCGCAACTTCGCAACGCCCTCACTGCCAGAGGAGATGTCACAGGGAAATGAAACTTGCAGGATCTAGTATCCATTATGAGTCTTACAACTTGTATATCTCGGATTTTTCCTAAAGGTCATATGAGGTCAGGTCATTTTCGTGACCTTACCATTATAAGTCAATGGGGAAAAATGAAAACTGCTATTCTGGCGCCGGGAACGATCTCCAACTATCTCAAGCACACAGAATCGTGATTTGATGCACTCCTTGCAAGGTTAGATGCGTCACTTTTGCAATGTTGACCTTCCGTGACGTCATTTATGACGTCATCAAGGTCATATTAGTTTTTCGTCAATAACTCCCGACCAAATTGAGCTAGCGAGTCGAGAAAGCCACCAATGGACTCAGGAAGACCTGCCGAATCGAATGATATGCGACATGACCTCTTTCGACCAACTTCGTGACCTGGGGGTGCTGACCTGACCTTGACCTGAGGTCAACACCCTAAGTTGACCTGACCCGAACAAAAAGTATATCATTCGACGCGCCTGAGCGAGGCGAACACGATGCTGCCAAAATCGCGGCTCTGCGGCCGTTTTTTGCGAAGTCATTCACCAAAAACTGAACCGTACCCTGGGGCACTTGACCTGACCTCAGAGGTCACCGGTTGACCTAGGACCTTAAAATTGGGTACCAATCTCTGCGTCTCGTAACGGCGCCCACGCTCGTTTTTTTCCGCGACGCGCTAGCTCCACCAGGGGCGAAACGGCGAGGGGGGGGGGTCGTACCCGCCCCCCCCTCGGCCGGCGCGTATGTAGAAAACCAATAGGTCCGGCGAGGGTTAAACTGACTCAGAACTACTCAACCGACTCAAATCGACTCCGATCGACACAGACAGACTCAGAACGACTCAGGCAGACTCAAACCGACTCAAACCGACTCAACCGTGAACCACCTCAAAGCGATTTAGACTGACTCGGACAGACCCATCGGTTTGACCTGAATCATCAGACGACCGGAATCGGTTTGAGTCGGTTGAGTCAGTTTGAGTCTGCCTGAGTCGGTTTGAGTATGCCAGAGTCTGTCTGGGTCGATCGGAATCGATTTGAGTCGGTTGAGTCGGTCTGAGTCAGTTTGAGTCGTTCTGAGTCTATCTGAGTCGGCCTGAGTCGATCTGAATTGGTCTGAGTCGGCCTGAGTCGGTTTGAGTCTGCCTGAGTCGGTTTGAGTCTGCCTGAGTTGATTTGAGTCTGCCTGAGTCTGTGTGAGTTGTTCTGAGTCTGTCTGAGTCGATAGGAACGATTTGAGTCGGCTGAGTCGTTCTGAGTCCGTTTGAGTCGTTCTGAGTCTATCTGAGTCGGTCTGAGTCGATCTGAATCTGTCTGAGTCGTTCTGAGTCTGTCTGAGTCGATTGGAATGGATTTGAGTCAGTCGAGTCAGTTTGAGTCTACCTGAGTCGGTTTGAGTCTGCCTGAGTCTTTCTGAGTCTGTCCAAGTCGATCGGAATCGATTTGAGTCGGTTGAGTTGGTCTGAGTCAGTTTGAGTCGTTCTGAGTCGGACTGAGTCGATCTGAATCGGTTTGAGTCGGTCGAGTCAGTTTGAGGCTGCCTGAGTCGGTCTGAGTCTAGGTATAGTCTCAGTCGATACTGTTAGTGTGGTAGGGGAGAGTGGGGTAAGATGCCCAGGGTGGGAAAGACGCCCCACCCCCTCTAGCGGCTAAACAAAGACTCGAACCTGGAAATGAATGTTCTTAGCGTAAAGCGGAAGCCTGCCTTATTAACTGCACAAAAATTTGCGGAGCTCAGTTGGGCAACGGCTGGCTGGTGATTGCATGTTTTTTATTTGCTGCTTTCAAAAAATATTTTGAGGTCAAAACATTGTAAATATCAAAGAAAGTAGATAATTTTTGCGTCCCTTGCTATAGTCGTGATGCATTAACGTGCGTGTACTGTGTCCCAAACAGTTTGTTTCAGGGTGTAGTTTTATGGCTAACAAATTGTACTGATTTAATGCTAATTCGGTACCTTGGGGTAAGATGCCCCCTGCCCTGATGGGGAAAGACGCCCCCCCTAAATCCGTATGCTGGCCTTCAAGGAACCCGTCAAATCATTTAGTACATACTTGTGATGAGAGACTAAAGCCGATCTGGGACTATTGAGAGCCCAGTACGGTCGGGTGCTCCCCATGCCGGTCTCTCGGCCCACATAACGACTCTTTGGGCGGCATCTGACTCTGAAAGCCCTCACGACGGCCTCTGTGGGCCCCATTATTGGCTCCAAGGCCCCTCACGACATCTTTTGAGCGCTCCCACGTTGGCTCCACGGGCCGTGCTGGCATCTGAGGTCCCCACGATGGGCTCGAGGTCCCTCAAGCATCATAAAGACCTATAAGGGCCCCACAGCGGTCTCCGAACGCCACCACGGAGGCTTGTTTGGCCGCGCTGAACTATGGTGGCCCTAAAGATGACCTTTGAAGTCCCTTACGACTACTTTTGAGGGCCCTTACGATGACGTTTAGTGCCTATTGCAGGCTCGAAGGCACTACTGATTCGTTCAGGCGATTCACGTGCCCATTTATGTCACATATAGTGCAGGGGGCATCTTCCCCAACGCCAGGGGGCGTCTTTCCCACCCTGTGGGGTAAGATGCCCCCTTTCACTTCTTCAGGAAAATTCTTAATAGGATAAAAGCTATCATATTTCAGGCACGAAAGAGTGTTATTTTTTTTTTTAGAAAAATGATGTCGGCTTCCGTTGAAACTCCAAGTTTTTGCTTTCGGATCGTCATTTTCGAATAATATATGACAAAGTAAAACCCTGGGCATCTTTCCCCACTCTCCCCTACACTCGGGGGCAGATTGATGTTCTACAATCTACAACTCTTTATCCACCGGGTTCCTACTTCCTGTGGCTCAGCTCAGCATTGGCAGCAGCCGCCTGGTACACTCGGGGGCAGATTGATGTTCTACAACTCTTTATCCACCGGGTTCCTATGGCTCAGCATTGGCAGCAGCCGCCTGGTACCGGTAGACTGTGCCGCTTCACTTACTTGTCAAGCGGCACAGCCTACCCACACCGTATGACACCGGCGCGGTCTGGGTCGGTGGCTGGAAGG